TTTCTTTATTTCCCCTTTTTTGCCATATAGCTATCTATTATTTCTAGGTGTTACAATTTCTTCCTTTCCCATTTCAAGCAAATTTTTTTTTATATATATTTTTTTTTTTTTTTTTTTGAAGTTGAAAAAAATTATTAGCCCCGTTTATTTTACCGATTCGAGTTTTATTACAGTAAAAATCTCTCAAAAACAGTCATATCTAATTTTTTTACTACAATACAAAAATTTCATATAAAGTCACATCTTAACTCGAATTAAAAACTCAAATAAACAAACTAAATGGACTCTTAATTTATGTCTATAATCACAATTTTCCTCCATATTGACGAGTTTTACCTTAAAATCTTACTCGTGCTCCAAATATCAGATTGTTAGTACTTTTGTCACCAACTTAGCTATTAGATTATAATGATAAAAAATTTGCCAATTAAGAGTACAAGTACTTGTTAAGATTAAAAATTTGGTGTCAAGTTATCAAAACCTACCAAAAAAAAAAAAAACAAAACTTTGTCGTGTGTTTGAGTAAAAACTTTTAAAGCCCATTTAGTTCGTTGATTCGAGTTTTTAATTCGAGTTGAGATGTGATTTTATGTGAGAGTTTTTTACTATAGTAAAAAAATTAAAAGTGATTGTTTGTAAGAGTTTTTTTACTGTAATAAAGTTTAAATTTTAAACTCGAATAAGTGAGATGAATGAGGCATAAAAAGTTAATAAAATAAAGACTTGGCCACGTGAGGACCAATAAAAAGCTCGATCGGATAAAATGAAAAACAACAAATGTAATCGCCGCCGATTGCTGGGCTTAAAAAAAAGCCTTAATTAGCGTGTACTTTACTTGCTTTTAGAATCTTTTTTGGATTCTGTCTCCCCAAGTTTTGAAAAAGCCTCTCCACTCTTTTTGTTTTTGATTTTTTTTTTGTTTTTCTTATGATTTTCTTTTTCATATTTAGCACGTAGATCTCTTATCCTCCATACTCCATGCATTGCTCCCTTCTCGACCTACACGCATTTTGGCATTTCATAGATGCCATGATGATATATGGTATAAAAAAATGGGATTGGCTTTTGTTCCATTTAAAAAAAAAAAAAAAAAAAAATTCGGTAGACTAACTTACTAATAAGATTAATTTTTGATAATTAAATATGGTCAAAATCACAATAAATTAAAAAAAAAATATGCATGACAAACAATTTTTAGTACAAATTTAACCGTTAAAAATTAAATAACTATCCATAGTTTTTTTCTTTAGTCGAGTAACTCTGTAGAAAACAATAATAATAATGGCTTTCACTCTTGAGCCCTTTTTCTCACTCCTTATTTTTACATCTTTTTAGCTTTTTCAAACTTTGTCATCCATGTTCTTCTCAGAATTTTGAGACAACTTTTATACCGAAGTATATGTATATGCATGTAGACATATAGTAATCGTTGACGTATTTAAGTACTTAATTAATTATTATGTATTTTTTAAGAAAAGAAAAATACTCAACAAGTTTCAGAAGAGAATACAGAAAACTCATTATATTTAGGTCCTTTCTAGCGCATATGCATATCAAAATTTACTCATTAAATAAGAGTTCCATATTAACTTTTTTTTTTTTTAATGAATAAGTTCCATACTAGCTCTTGAACAGGGAAAAGGTTTCGTAAAAACCATATTCCTTTTTACCTGAAAAAAAGACAACCATATGCCTTTAATCTCTCTTGGTAATATTTAGATGAATATTATTCTCTTTCGTTAATGTCGATCTATTATATATTCTTTTTTTAAGATTATTTTTAGTAGACCGTCCTACTAATATGATTAATTTTTTAACCATTAAATTTAATTAAAATTAAATAAGATTAAAAAAAATATAAAATCATAATTTTTAATATAAATCTAATAGCTGAAAATAATTAAAAGAAATGAAATTACTGATAATTTTATTTTTCTTGTCTCAGCAAGAAACCCTCATTTTGTTATTCCTATCCATATCTAATCACAACTTGATTGTCTTTCCTTGATAATTATTCTACCGTACATAGACAAACATATAATGAAATCCAAAATTAAACTTTCTACTTTATAGCGAGCAAAGTACAAAGCATTTTAAAAAGATTATTGCCTCACCAACTCTCTCTTTTCTAATAAAAAAAAGACATTCTCCTTCTTTAATACATTAATATATTAATAGGTTAAGTTTTTTAATTATTAAATTTGTATAAAATTACATAAAAATTAAAAAATACGTAAACTTAATGATTAAAAAAACTTAATTTATTAATACACTAAGCGTGCTATTCAATTTCAAAAAAAAAAAATTTTGTTTTAAGGCAAAATGTGATGGATATTTAAAGCATATCTTAATAACACAATTTGAGCAATTTAATTCGGCGTTCCTTAATTAAGCACTGGATCTTGAACTTTCACATTTTGTGTATTCTTTGACTTCGTTCACTTCGCGGATTCGAGTTTTCAATTCGAATTGATATGTGATATTTTTTAAGAGCTTTTTACTGTAGCAGAAAATGTTGGATATAACATTTTTTGAGAGTTTTTTACTGTACAAACCTAAAACTGAAAACTCAAATCGGTAAAATGATGTTTTTGAAGTGAAAGTCGAGTGTCTTGATAGTCTCACCCTTAAGACTTCACATAAAAAATTGAGAAAAATGAAAAAGACCACGTAAAATTTCTTCAAGAAGAAAAAGACATAAAAAGTATTTTACCATTATAGATTATGTGAAATGTCGTCTCACTAGCCAAGTACTTGGCATAAATTGTATATCAAATATTAAATCTTTGGATTAATTTATAAGTACCCTGAATTTTCACTAATTACATTCTGCTCTATGACCTAAAAAACATGTCATTCATAATCGTTTAAGTTTAAGATATTGAATAAAACTTTTGAAAATTTAAGACACAAAGTGAAATTAATAACATATTTAGGCAATATTGATAAGACTAGTGAAACCTGTCTTTTCCTTACAAGTAGATCAATATTCGTTAGAAAGACTCTTAAAAATGTGCTGAAACAGTTATAAGTACCGAAATGGCTATTAATTAATAATAATTTCTGGTCCAAATTTTTTTGAAAAAGATTTGATGACATATTTAAGCGACATTTATAAAAGTAATCTTTAAATATTAATACTTGAACTAGCAATCATAAATTCATTGTAGTATTTTTTTTTAATAAAAAAGCTTTCTGATGTTATTTTAGTACAATAATTTTTTAAGGACGTACAATATAAATTTAGTATTTTTGGTAAGATTAGTTTTTGAGTATTAGATTTGATAAAAACATATTAAATTAAAAATTAAATAAAACAAATAATTTTTAATACAAATTTAAAATATAAAAATAGAGATTTTTTGATAGTTTATTTTTTCACACCATACTCAAACTATCAAGTATCAATAAATTAAGGTTTCATTTATTGGTCTCGTTCATTTCGCCGATTCAGTTTAAAATTTAAGTTTTATTATAGTAAAAAATTTTCAAAAACAGTCAGATTTAATTTTTTATTACAGTAAAAAACTCTCACATAAAATCACATCTTAACTCAAATTAGTAAACTAAATAAATCCTTTATCAATTTAAATTTTTAATTTTAAGTTTTTATAATTAAAAACTTTTAAAAAATATTATATTTAATTTTTTTATTATAATTAAAAACTCTTAAAAAATATTGAATTGGAAAATGAGCTTCAAATATTCGGTGGTTCAAAGCGATTAACGATGCGCGTGTTCATGAGAGCTTTGTTTTGTTCAAGGCTCGGTCACGATCTCTGTATAAGTAAAGCATAAAGAAAAGAGGCTCAGTCAAATCAATGGACGCAGAGCTCATAATTCCCACGCGCTTCAAGTTTGCGTGTGGAAGACCCCTTTCTGTTACCATGACCGTTGGTTCACCATTGAGTTAATTGGCAAGAAAAATATTCAATTAAAACAAAAAAGAGAAAACTCAAATAAAAACAAAAAACAGTCATTTTCTTTCTTTTAAGTCCCACTCTATATGATACCCAATTTGGAAAATCCATTCGACTTTCAATCAACTATGAATAAGGCTAGGTTTAAGTATATTAATGTTAGGTGTATTTTCTATTGGAAAACTCTAAGTGGACATTAAGTTGATAGATTTAGAATCATGATTCAAAATTATTCTTGATTTACGTGTGTTTTTTAAGAGAAAACACTGTAACAAGTCACGAACCATGATCCAAACTATGACACGAATCCACCAACTAAACGCACTCTAAAGACTCGTTCAGTTTGTAAATTTGAGTTTTTAATTCGAGTTGAAATGTAATTTTATGTGAGAATTTTTAATTGTAGTAAAAAAAATTAAATTTAATTTTTTATGAGAGTTTTTAACTATAATAAAATTAAAATTAAAAACTTAAATGACTGAAATAAAAGAGGCATAGATATCTTCAATTAGGCTTCATGAAAAAGAGAAAAAAATAGTTACAGGAATAGTTTAGCAGTAAATTCCTTCCGTGGATTTCGTTTAAACATCCTCAATTTTAAAGAAAAAAGAAAAAAGTGACCAGAGGAGAAGTTCTTTTTGTGCAAGTTTTATACCATATTAATAAGGTTTTATGTGTCTTTTTAAAGGAGATTTCACTTAAATATCCTATTGGGAGCCGTATAAATAAAAATGACCCGAGACATAAAATTAGAAAAAAAAAAAAAAAAAAAAAAAGGGAAAAAAAAAAAAAAAAAAAAAACATAGATATTCATACTAGTACGTAATAATACCAAACAAAATACTAGAAAAAATAGTTATTACTCTATCTGGTTTTTTGCCCTTTCAAAAATGTTTTCTTCTGAAGATAATGGTCACTAATCACTAATAAGGAAAGCAAAATGCCATTTGTTATTATTTATCAACACGCTATTGACTGCAAAGCAGATAATAACAATAATAATTACTTTTTTTTGTTGTGTAAGGCTGAATCAGCCTATTTTGAAGGCTTATTTTTATTTCACTCGTTTATTCTATTTATTTATTTATTTTTTGGGAGCCACCTTTGACGGTTGGCAAAGGAAGAAATCAGAATAGCCTCCTTTGACAGCTCTTGCCTCCAAAAGCATTTCCCTTTCTTTCCTTCTATATTTTCTCTTATTACTCTCTCACTTGCAGAGAAAGACATCAAAACACACAAAAAAAAAAAAAAAAAAAAAAAAAAAAAAAAAAAACTCTCTGCTCAAGTTACCTCAAAACCCAATCAGAAACAATTCTCTCAAGCCTGGGGGAATCAAAGCAAACCAGAAAAACTCTCTGACATATAAGTATACATATATACATAAGCACGTATATATATATATATTTGGTACAACCACTTGCATTTTCTGCATTTCTCCTTATCTGGGCTTGATTTTTCTTTTCTTTTTTCTTTTTCAAAACTTCATCAGCACAAAGAAGCTGCTTTTGAAAAAAAAAAAAGAAAAAAAAAAGAAGAGTGGAACTTTGCATAGGAAATGGTGCACTACCAGAGGTATAACCAGTGGAGGAAAGCTCAAGGTTTTGAAGAAGATGAAAATGGTGTTGTTATGGATTGTTCAAACTCTGGTTATTATTACAAGAGATCAAGGCCTAAGCTTGTCTCTCTCCTCCTTCTCTCTCTTCTCTCTTGCATCTTTGTCTTAGCTCCTCACCTCTTTGGCTTTCCCTCCACTTTCTCTCTCCTGTGTAAGCTCTGCTTTTATCTCTCTCTCTCTCTCTCTCTCTCTTCATGGGTCCCCTTTGCTTTTGCTTTTTTTTTTTTTTTTTTTTTGTACTTTCTTTTCTCTGTTTTCTCTGCTTCAGTTTTGTGGTCTGATATATTTGTTTTTTTTTAATTTTATTTTTCTGGGGTTTTCCAGATTCACCTCAAGATGAAAGTGATTGCCTTTCTTCTGGTGTCGATGCAAAATCTTCTTGTTCTTCAGTTTCTGATGGTAAATAAATACTTTCCCTTTCCTCTCAATCTTTTTCCTTTTTTGTGTGTTGTTATTTTTCTTTAAGTTTAATAAAATAGTACTATTGCTTGGACCAAGGAAGTATTAAAATCAATTCAAAGTTTAGGCCTTTGGATTACTTTGGGATTAAATATCAAGTTTCTGGAAAAATCATAAACACACCAATTAGACAATAAAATCACATCCTTTAAAGTGTTATGCATGTTTAGTTATTATTATTTTTCTTATTTTTGAGCAATTTTTTTTTTAATTTTAAAGGATTCTTCTGTACGGTTAAAAAAATCTCTGGTGAGCGCTTATTTATTCTTGATAAAATTTTCATAAAACTTGTTGTTGCTCTTTGGATTTACATGCCAAACCAGAAAAATGATTTGTCATTAAAAAATCACACTTATTTAATAGGGATTTTTCCTTTTAATTACAGGAACCATATGTTGTGACAGAAGCAGTATTCGTTCTGATGTTTGTGTAATGAAAGGGGATGTGAGAACACAATCAGGCTCCTCTTCAATTTTTCTCTACGGCTCCAGAGACAACAACAACAACAAAAACAGCTTCACCGACTTCAACTCGAGCATCGTAGACGACGGTGGAGAAGGAGGAGAAACCAGAGAACTCCGGCACGAAAAGGTCAAACCGTATACCCGAAAATGGGAAGCAAGTGTCATGGACACCATTGATGAGCTAAACCTTATCTCAAGAAAAGACTCGAAAGGAAAAGACCATGAGTGTGATGTTTACCATGATGTTCCGGCAGTGTTTTTCTCTACAGGTGGATATACTGGCAATGTTTACCATGAATTCAATGATGGGATTATTCCATTGTATATCACATCCCAGCGTTTCAAGAAGAAGGTCGTTTTTGTCATCCTTGACTATCACAATTGGTGGGTGATGAAGTATGGAGATGTCCTAAAACGTCTCTCAGATTACAAGCCGATCGATTTCAAGGGAGACTTGAGAACTCATTGCTTCCCGGAAGCCATTGTTGGTCTCAAAATCCATGGAGAGCTAAGCGTGGATCCCTTGTTGATGGAAGGGAACAAGAGCATCGTCGACTTTCGACATGTTCTAGACCGGGCTTATTGGCCGAGGATCAAAGGCCTAATTCGAGATGAAGAGCGAAAAGCACGGGCGAGGTTGTCCCGATCACCAGAGGCCTTGTTGAAGATCGGTGAGTACAAACCGAAACTACTTATTTTGTCGCGAAATGGGTCAAGATCAATAACCAATGAGGATTTGCTTGTGAAAATGGCGGAGGAGATAGGGTTTAGGGTCAAAATTCTGAGCCCCAATCGGACAACAGAGTTGGCGAAGATCTATCGAGCTATGAACTCGAGTGACATGATGATCGGCGTTCACGGTGCTGCCATGACACATTCCCTCTTTATGAGGCCAGGATCAATGTTCATCCAAGTGATTCCATTAGGAACTGTTTGGGCTGCAGAGACTTACTATGGTGAGCCTGCCAAAAAACTTGGCTTGAAGTACATTGGCTACAAGATTCTCACTAGAGAGAGCTCATTATATGGCAAGTATGATACAAATGATCCTGTTCTTAGAGACCCAAGTAGTGTCACAAAAAAGGGGTGGCAATTCACAAAGAGTATATATCTTGATGGCCAAAATGTGAGACTTGATTTGGGAAGATTTAGAAAGCATTTGGTTAATGCTTATGAGTATTCTCTCTCTAGGAAGAACATGAACCCTCATCTTCAATCAGGGTAAATTTAATGTTTTTAATGTAATTTGTAAAAATTATTCTTACTTTACAGTTCACAAATTGATTGATCATTTTGAAGGTTGTAAATTTGGGGACATAAAATTATGGATAGGAAAAGATTTGTTTGTAATGTGTAGGAATTGTTCTGATGTTACGTAGGACTTTTGATACATGTATTATGTATGTAAATTGAGCATTGTGAAATAAGCTTCTTTTTGGCAAAAAGTTGGGAATTTTTTTTGTACTCAATAATTGGGCGTTTGACTTCAATTTTTGATTTTCGGTCGTGTATTTTCGGTTGCATACATAAAAAAAAAAAAAAAAAAAAAAAAAAAAAAAAAAAAAAAAAAAACATTTTCCTCCACTGCCGGTTCGATGCTACCAGTGAATTTGGACATGTCGATTGTCAAAAGTCGCTGATTCTTGAAGCTTAACGACATGCCGTTTTTCCGCAACTAACGACACGAACATGATTTCTTGAATGTCGTCTGTTAAGTTACCATCTCATAGAAATTTTTTCCAAAATAATGTGTACATGAGAGGTTCATAATCGTGGAATATTTAATAGTAATAATTTTTTTTTAAGGCAGATTTTCTCATACGTCCAGCGTACTGATAAATCAGGTTTTTTTAATCGTTGAATTTGCGTTTTTTTTTTTTATTTTTACATGATTTTATGTAGATTTGATAGACAAAAAAACTTAACTTACTGACATGTTGGTGTATCGAAAAAGGTCTCTACTTCTAGATTTTTATGTTTTCAACAAATAATATCATCCCGCAGTACACGTAAAGCCATGCATACTTGAGAGTAATACCAACAAAAAGGCCTTTTTTTCGAGTAAAATAAAAGGCATTTTGAGAACTGTGAGGTCAATTATATATTAAAGAAGTTACTATATGATAATTTCGGAAAATGTACCTTAAAAAAATTTTATTAATAGGAACTTGGTGTCCAAATTTGTTATTGTAATTACAAGGAGAATCACTATCAACAGATTGCTTAATGAGTAAGAAAACCTTTCTGGGCAATTTTTTGGTTTTTGTCCTAACTCAATGTTAGCAAGTCAGCTAAAGCTTCAAGTTGAAGCGCAACTACAGTATTTTTATTGTCGTATGAGCTCATTACACCCATCTCCGAGTCAAGTTTGTTGATTGGCGCACAGGAGGAGGTGTCTTGGCATTTCTAGTGTCCTTTGCATCTGAAAAAAAAAGCAAACACAATGAATACGAAAACACAAGTAAAACAAGTTTGTTTATTTACAAAGAAAGACTTTCCTTAGTCAATACTTTTTACTTACGATTGTTGTCAGTTAGCTTCCCTCCAAGAGAAGATCTTCGGTTTCTGTCCGACCCCGATTGGATACCGGTTAGTGATTGCCTCCTTAGAGATTTTGCACTTGTTGTAACTGGTGATTTCCCATCATTGATATTGCTTGCAACTTTAAGGGTTGGTTGTGCTTCCATCAAATTCTGTTGGTTCCTGCAAGTATGATTGAAACTAATATCGATTTTCGACTTGTTTCCTAAGTAACCTAATATAGGCCTTGTTCATTGCACAGATTCAAGTTTTCAATTTCAGCTTTACTATAGTTAAAAGCTCTTAGAAACAGTCGCATTTAACTTTTTTACTATAATTAAAAACTCTCCACTATCTCAACTCAAATCGGCAAACTAAACGAGGCCATAATGTGTTCCATAAATGGATTTTCTTACCTTTTCTCAGATCCATTAATCAGCTTTCCGATCGTCCTCAAGGATCTCCGAATCTGGGATCCTTTACCATTTGTGCTACTAATCACTTGAGGTGTCTGGTAATCAGTAGATATGGTTAGCTCATTCTGCATCAGAATCTGAACCTCATTTTTGAAGCTTATTTGCGCTTCGGGTGTCTTTGGTAGTTGAAAAGAAGGAATCTGCGTTCGACTATCCATTTTTACTCGCTTTTGATAGGTAGCACTTGTTGGACTCCTAGGATCCTTTGGTAACTGAAGAGAAGGAATTTGTGTTCTACTATCTAGCATACAGCTTCCACTGCTGAAATTTCCAAATGACTTTGTGGCAGCCTCGGCATCTTGAGGTTGACCGTATTTCTGTGCCAACATTGCCTTTGGCCTGCACATATCATCTGCCACATTTATCTCTAGATTATCCTTCTTGAAAGATCTCGGACCTTCCAAGCTTGATCTCCTTGACCGATTTGGCACGGAGGGGGTCTTGGATCCCTTTCTGTCGTCAGGATTCATCTCTTTCTCATTCTTCACCGCGCCGCAATTCTCGATGCTCAGTCTTCGAGGGCGTGGAGGGGTTCTCTCCATTATTGCTCTTGGTTTCTCACATGTTTTGTTGAGCTGTACATTCTGTGCTTCCTTGTTTGCCAACGCCTTTTTGAGGCTCTCAATCTGCAAAATTTTGTGTGAAGTTAATTTAGGAAATTCTACCTTTTTAATTCAGTAACAAACCTATAAAGTAGTAATATATTGTGGCAATAACAATAGTCTAACTCTAATGTGGCAATAATAAGCATGTTTACCTGATGTTTCAGTTGCACAACCTCACTGCTTTCCTTGTTTGAACGAGCAGCACCAAGTTCAACAGTCGAAGCTCTCTGAGCAAACTTCAAGGTGCTAATTGTTTCACCGAACGAATCCTCTTCCGGACTAACATGCGCAAACATCAGCGTTTTAGCATGTCCACCTGAAATATAAATTTACATAAAAGTAAGAAATTGAAATCTATTTCTAATTGTCAAGATGTTAAGGCATCAATCATCAGGTCACAACCTAAGGAGTCTTGCAGTAGAAGGGTGAGTTTGCTGTTTCTATAAGGGATGTGAGCATTCCTCTGAGCCAAGGCCGTAATTACGTCTCCCAAACAAGAAAGCGACTTGTTGATGCACTGTGCCTCCTTGAGCCGATCTCCCGTGACTTCGGATTTGTCCACTCGTTCACTTCCTGCGAGGTCTACCAAATGTAGGCAACTGCGGAGATTGTCACCAGATGCATCTTTTCCATGAACATGTACAGTCAGGACGCTGCGGAACATGTCAAGAAAAGCAGTCAATGTTGAGAAATATTCAGTTACCTGGTGAGTACTATAATTTATAAACGTTTTGACCTGTGTGAACGACTACTCTGGTTGTTCATTGCAGTGGAGCTGACAAATCTATTCACCTCACCAACCTTGATGAGATTGAGAACATCGGCAGTGGACTTCACCGAACGCATTGTAGCGTTTGGCAGACTCAAGCCATTATCACTCGTGCAGCTACGGATCTCTAACTTGTGCTGTGTTAAGGAAAAATATTGTATGCTAATTGAAACTCAACAATAGAAAATTTCATATCCTTTTTCCAAACTTGGTGAAAACGTTATTACAAGTAAGATGTGGTGCAATGATATAGAACAGCCTGTATGAAAGGATATTTAGTGGTTGATGAATCTTCTGCAAGAAGGTCACGAACTTGCTCGTTATATATTTCGACCATTTGGACATGAAGTTCATAACTTATGATGTCCTTTCTCTTGCTAGATATCTGGAAGAGATCATTGAGAGCTAAGTAATTGATTCCCATGTCTGTGGTTGAACCACCTGATGGACCACTCTGTCAATGAAGGAAAACAATGAGATCGAAAAATTAAGTAGAGATCCATGGGAAGGATTAAAAAAAAAAAAAAAAAAAAAGAAACAATATCTTACCATAGTGTGTGTTTTTCCGGAGCCTGTTTGACCATATGCAAAAATGCATACATTGTAACCATCCATGACAGACCTAATTAATGGTTTAGTGTCCTTAAAAATCTCATCTGAAAAATTGAGGGCAATAGTGAGAAAGTGATCAGATTAATTTAACAAGGACTGTATAATGGTTGATTGTTGTGTTATATTATTACCTTGTGTAGAAGTGGGGCCAAACACCCTGTTGAAGTTGAAAACTCTCCTTCCATCCTTGCCAGGTTTTGATGGGTCTAACAGAACTAGTGAACCGTCCTCTCCAACAAAATCTATTACACCTTTTGAGCCACCGTTGAAGGACGGCCGAATTCTGCAGTAAACTCGAATGTTACCTGAATCAAGTTTCAACAGAAGTAAGAATCATTACACAACCCGAATGATAAGAGATCACTAAAATGAAGAATTTAAAAATAAGATTGAGCACGTCAGAACTTAGTTACTTGATTTAATCTAACCTTTCAAATCTTGAACCATGTTGTACAAAGCCCTATTCTCTTTAACCACCTTGTGATATCCGAGAGCGGCAGTTGACAGTTCTTGTACCTCGGTTCCTGAGAATGCAGAAGAAAAGCACATTACACTCCACTAGGAATTTCTATATGAGATTCTAAATGCAAACGTTTTTCTCAACAGAAATGGAGATCTTCCTAATGCCTAAAGGAATAAAAGATGAACAGTATAAAGATAAAATTTAGCAAACAAGTTTCTGGCCTTGTTCAGTTCGCCGATTCGAGTTTTTAATTTGAGCTGAGATGTGACTTTATGTGAGAGTTTTTAACTGTAGTTAGATGTGACTTTATGTGAGAACTTTTAACTGTAGTTAGATGTGACTTTTTGTGAGAGTTTTTAACTGTTCAAAACTAGAATTGAAAACTCAAATCGGTGAAATGAACGAGGCCTCTATTAACCACAAATATCCAATCCTTCACCCAACAAAAAGATGATTGATGATGAAGAAATTAAGGGGGATTATGATCCTAATTAGAGTTCATTATTGCTAATCATAATGTGCTAATTATGAGTTTCTTTACCAATAATAGCATACCTAAGTAGTTCAAATCTCTCTGAAACTGGGACTGTAGGTCTTCAAACTCATCCTTTGTTCTCACCAACAAGGCCTTGAGATCCTGCACAGATTCACATTTAATGTTATTCGTTGTGAGACCTATCTTCGTTCATTAGTCCGAGTAAAAATCACATTGAAAAACCATTAGACTATTCGCCACTTGTTGACAGCATAATTGAATAAAAGTAAAAGTAATATTCAAGAGAAATCGATGAAACAGAAATACTCACTGTCAGTTCTTTTTCTTGCATTTGAAATAATTCCTTGTGATGACAGTTACATTTACCCATTCTCGAACAAGATTTGCAGCGCTATTACATGCGCATAATAAACACATCAAATCTTTGTTAACAATATAGGTGGTGCAACATGAAATACCATTTGATGTTACAACAAAAAATATGTTTTGACTCTTGTTGAATGAGAAAGTAAACATAAATATACCCGTGTATTTCCAAGCACAGATAAATTTCCCAGAGGCTCAGATGTTGAGCGGGCTGGAGAGATACTACTTCCTCTCAATGAATCTTTTAACACTGAACATAGCTATCCAAAATATAAAAAAAAAAAAAAAAAAATAGAAAGAGCCAAAATTAGTTGAAATGCTGCAAGAGCTTCGTGTAATAAAAAAAAGAAAGAAAGCATTAGAGTTATGCTGACAAAATCGGTGAACTATTCTAAAGGCATTCTATTTCTATATGACAAACTCTGTTTTAGATTAAATAAAGTCAATTTTTTTAATGAACATAACAAATTCATGTTACATAACAGATTAAGCAACTAGTGTACATGGAAACTTTTTGAGCACATTTGCATGCCGAAACTCGACCCCAGTTCACCACATCTACTCATCCTGAAATCACTAGAGGGGAAAATTTCTTTCAGCTCTCATCAGGCTCACCTCAGGCAATTCTTTCTGGAGCTGTTCTATCAAAGAACCTGACATGATCTTGCTGAATAGCTTGACCGGATCCTGCTACATGATTAGAAAAACCAGATAACTTCACTTCAAGATCCATCAATTATCCTTTAAGGATATATTAAAAAGATAGTCTTGGTCAATACCAAAGCTCCATTACGGAAGGAAGCGATAAGGTTGTCATCAACATTTTCCTTTGTGCCAACCATAGAATCTACAAGCAGCTTGACAATAGATTCTACCAGAGCGCCTGCCAAAAGATAATCAAGTACAGAAGTTCATGAGGTATGAGTTCCACAAGTTCATAACCAACTAGAAGTATGTTTCTAGAAAATCGATCATATCATTCTAAAATATTTGCTCACTCATTCTAATCACATTGCATTAAAATTATAGTACAACAAAATACGTTGCTACAATTGCAAAGACTTAAATCCTATTACAATATATCTTACCAATAATCCTAAAGGATTTTTCTATGTTTCAATTAAAAAAGTAAAAAAAAATAAAAGAATGACATACTATTTAAAGCTTAAACATGTAACCATTTTCAACAAATTCTGAAGATCTCTAGTCCGCATCGATAATCATAAAACAAAAGGTGAAGAGAGGTCACCTTCGAGCTTCTTATTGTCACCCGTACAGGGTGCTTGCGTTTGTCTGTCACATGTGGCAGACAAATCCAATCGTCTACAAGAGTCCGATGGGATTGCAGCCGAAGCTCTTGAATGCATCCTGTTGGCAGAATGCATAGCCAAAGGTGATTTTGCATATTTATGAAATCCATTGCCGCAGCTCATTTTCTTCCACTCATGATAAGATTTAAGGCCTAAAACGCAATCAACAACTTTGGCCACCGACCCTGCTTCCAATGTATCCTGAGACAGAAAAGAGATGACCAAATTATTCATATGCCCTTGTAAACTACTCGCTAAAACATATATTACAATGATACAGAAAATTTACCCTTTCAAGATCAGAAGCTTCAAAAGCAGGAAGCTTCATGTCTTCTACAGCAACCAGGAAGTTGCGGACATTCTCAAAGTACTGATAAGCGGGCAGCGGTTGCATTTCCCAGTTGAGCGATTGTATAGGAAATTGACTCTCCACAACCTTTTAAATAAGAAGATTGAAAGATAAAGAAAATGCCATCGGATTTTATGAACCTCAATAATGAAAGACAATAAGAGTCATGAGTCATTTCCTACGTTGATAATACCTTGGGAACCGCTCCTGTGTGAATCTTGTTTATGGCATTGCATAGAATGAGACCATTTCTTAGGCAAGAAATGAATTCTCTCTCCGAAGGCTGGTTCGATATTCCGAGCGGACCCACCTGGCTTTCGAGCCATTCCACAGCTTGGCATCGCCTCCAAGCTGCGCATTCGATAATCAAGAACAAATTCTAACTTTATCATTCATTTAATGTACATCCATAACTTCTTCCTATTTAACTTCTTAGGTACGTCTTACTTGAATATAATCGAAATCCGAATATTAATAATTAATCAGCACACAAACTAATGAAGAAACAAGAAGCACCAACCTGCTTCTTCAGCCTTTCTTGAGGCCATGGTGAAATCATGGGTCCCAGCTCTTGTAGAAACCTCCATTGAAATCTCAATGTTGTCGCTGATCCTGCAATAACAAAACCAATCACGACAAACAAACAAAACCCCATAATCCAAGAAAACTATCACACCCCAACCCAGAAATCCATTTTCCCTTATGATCCTGCAATAACAAAACCAATCACGACAAACAAACAAAACCCCATAAACCCCATAATCCAAGAAAACTATCACACCCCAACCCAGAAATCCATTTTCCCTTTTCAAAATCACAAACAAACTTACGAAAAATCCCAGCAGAAAGAAAATGAGAGTGCAAGCAAAGAACTTTCTTGGTTCCTTTTCTCTGGGGTTTTTTTTTTTTTGGGTTCTCTAAAACCCAACAAGAGAAAATGATGGGTGAAAGTGTTTTTTTTTTCTTTTTTTCCCCTTTTCTTTTTGGTTTTTGGGACCTTTTTGGGTTCGGAATCTGAGGATCTTGGAATCGTAACGTTACTCAGGACTAGGAGTAAGGAGGGCATGTTTTGAATTCAAATTGGTAGGGGCCACACGTGCCCCTTTGACATTAAAGGATAACATCCACCGTCCATTTCGTGGAGTGTGCAATCTCAGCCGACGAATGAGATTTATCGGAAAGGGAGCCGTTGGAAGCTTGGTTATGGACCTGACCATGGGGCAGAATTTGGGCTTTCTCCTTCAGACCGTGGAGATCATTAGGCCCGTAAAAGTTTTGAAGTATAAGAAAATACAGAGTAATAATTACACAACACGGCAAAATCTGATAGCATGAATTGATATTTAGCAACGTTTCCTATTACGAGAATAGCAAAATATTAGTGAAAGTTTTAAAATATAATAAATTATTGGTCATTTTTACCCTTTTCAATAAACTCGTTTAGTTCGCTGATTCGAGTATTTACTTTGAATTGAGATTTGACTTTATGTGAGAGCTATTTACTATAACAAAAAAAAATTACGACTGTTTCTGAAAATTTTTTACTGTAGTAAAACTCGAATTTTAAATTCAAATTGGTGAAATGAACGAGATCTTTATTTTTAGTAACGTTCTGTGTTCGAATTTGGCGGAATATTTAGCAACGTTTCCTATTACGAGAATAGCAAAATATTAGTGAAAGTTTTAAAATATAATAAATTATTGGTCATTTTTACCCTTTTCAATAAACTCGTTTAGTTCGCTGATTCGAGTATTTACTTTGAATTGAGATTTGACTTTATGTGAGAGCTATTTACTATAACAAAAAAAAATGTGACTGTTTCTGAAAATTTTTTATTGTAGTAAAACTCGAATTTTAAATTCAAATTGGTGAAATGAACGATATCTTTATTTTTAGTAACGTTCTGTGTTCGAAATTGGCGGAAAATAATACTCCATAAAAAGTGTGTTTTCAGTTTTTCATTGGTGTTCTTCTGCATCTAGGAAATATAGCATGCACCTCTTCAAATTACAACCATGTTCGTGTACAACCATGATATTATCATCTTACCATTATCAATATCACTAACAATATCGTTATCATTACTATTATTATTATTATCATTAAAGTTATTTTAAATGATATGTAGAGATCTTGAGGTACTTGTAATATGAAGGTATGAAATTATGATTGCGTTTTTTAAATAAAGCAATTAACATGTTTAACAATCTTTTTATCTCACATCTCATTATATTCCCACGTTTTAAGGGATTTTGGATGAATTTGTTACTTTTTCAAATCATCCCTAAAAGTTATGTGATTTAAGGATATTTATGTCATTACATACTATCATTTTGCTAAATCTACAATATTTCGAAGCTGTTGCTAGTTGCTACATTTTAATCTTTGATATTCAAATTTTACTATACGTGTAAATCACCCAAATACAAAAGGGTACCCTTGAATTTTAGCTAAATCCTACTTTTGTCTCTATTTTTTATGTAATCCAAAATGTATTTTCTGTGTTTTTAAGCTTTCTCAAAATTATTCATTAATTTTTTCAATGGAGTTACAAAAACAACCTTTTAGTTGGTTAAAAATTTCAAAAACGTCTTAATAATTACTATTTAAGTATTATTTTAGCTATTAATAATTAATTTCCCTCTCTCTCCTATGGGTTGATCTCTTTGATAAACGTTTTTGTAAAAGGCAAAAAGGAGAATTTTGATAATGATTAAAGAGACAATAGGGTATGAATGAATGGATTGTCACATGAGATCGCACCCGTTCATTTCACTGATTCAAGTTTAAAATTTAAATTTTGTTACAGTAAAAAATTATTAGAAACAGTCACATATAACTTTTTTACTATAATAAAAAGCTTTCACATAAAATCACATCTCAACTCGAATTAAAAACTCGAATCAGTGAACTAAACGAGACTCTAGTTTAGGCATGAGGTGGACAAATCTAAATCCAAACAACCATGTGTGGATAGTATAGACGTGACATTGAGTATGAGGTGGACTAATCTGCCCTCTTAGTAAAAAAAAAATAGAATTTATCTTACTGTAACTTTTTCCTAAATTTAATTTCTTAGGTTTTTTTTTTTTGTGTATTTGAGATAATATTTAAATATTGATTATTAAGAGCATTTATGTCATTTTTAACAATTTGACGAGTTGAAGGTGTAATTTTTTAATTCTTTTATAAAACTCAAGAGATAATTTTAGGATAATTTAAAAATATAGGAAATATTTTTTGGATGAAAAAGAAGATAAATGTGGGATTTATCTAAAACTCATGAGATACTTTTGGATTTCTTTTTCTCTAGTTACTCACGCGTACAACTTTTTATACAGAAATTAGAAAAAAAATAATAATAATAAAACGAAAATTACTCTACCACCGAGGGGTTGACAATGATTTTGTTAGTTTCATCATTGAGTGCTTGTCCCAAATAATGTATTGAACCATAAAAAGAAGGGTGGGAAAAGTAAGCAAATAAAAATGATGACTATACTTTATGAGGAAAGCTTATCTCTATACTTTCGTTACCTGAACAGTTGGCGCTTTAGCTGAACGCCTATGTTAGCTATGGAAGATAGAATGATGACTTTATCCTAATGAAAGTTTGTAAAGATTCGTTTAGTTGGTTGATTTGAATTTTTAATTTGAGTTAAGATGTAATTTTTATGAGAGTTTTTTATCATATTAAAAAATTAAATGTGACTGTTTTTAATAATTTTTTACTGTAGTAAAACTCAAATTTTAAACTTAAATTGGTGAGATGAACATGGCCTAAATCTAGTTATAAGGCCAGTATATTTAGACCATTTTCAATGTACATATTAATGCCAATTATATATTTACCAGAAAAAAATGTGTTATGATATGTTATTTTCATTTTTACTTTAATGCATTATGTTATTTATAATGTTAAATCTATATTTTTCTATAATTATTAAGCTTTGAAAGTTGTAAAGTTTAAAATAATTAAAAAATACAAAAGTTGTAATGATTACATGAAAAGATAAATATTTCAACCAATAACAATTAAATATCAAATTTCTCATATCTATATTTGGTAGGAAATTTATCACAAAGCATAGCATATGAAAAATTTATCACAACAAATAGCATTATATTGGATAATATTTTTTACACTTAAATATTAAATTTACAATTAACGCATCAATTATAACAGTACATTAAATATGCTCATATCAAACTCTTGGGAATAAAGCAGCATTTGCTTTATTTTCCAAAAAGTTCATATTTCTAAAATCCATTCCCTCACCAACATCTAAGCTATGCTCCAAGCACCAAAGAGGGTTGCTTCTTGCCTTCTAGGAATTAAGAATTTCAAATATGGGATCAATCACTTCTTATAATCGAATAGCATTTCTGGAAAAAAAAAAAAAAAAAAAAGAAGAAGATTCAATAACTTCTCCTTTTATTGACTTTGCTTCTTTCGCGCGAACAACAACCGATAACATGACACTCCTTTTGCTCTAACATCATCGGATAACATAACAAAACATTCTTTTAGCTCTTTTTAGTAAATATCATTTTCTAAAAATTTTATCCATGTGTTATTCCAATTTTTATTCTTCTTTGTTTTTGTTTTCCTTTCTCTGTGCTTTCTATTTTCTCAAAATTCTTTTTTGTTTTCAACTTTCTCCTAAGTCCTGATTCCTGAAGCTCTGCCATAAATTGTATTATTTCCTTTTAATTTTTATCCATTACCTCTAAACTAGGTTATTTCCTTCATTTCTCCACTTTTATATGTAAATTTTGCATTCTCTATTTTGTCTTTTCTTTTTTTTTTTTTTTAATAAAGTTGTTTGGATTCTTTTTTCTTTTTTTTTTCTCTATTTTGCTTATATTGTTGATCGTTTTACACTATTTTTTTTTATTTCATTTGCTGTTTCTTTTCTCATACCTTAATTGATATTCTAAACTCTCTTTGTTGCCATTTTCTTGTGTATTTACTTTTATTTATTTTTGAGTTGTTTTACTGTCTATTTTATTCCTTTTTCTACATTGTTTCTTTTTTTTATTATTATTTTGCTTTGTTTGCTTACAAAAAAAAGGCTTTATGCCTAAAACTTCAAGAAAAATAGAGAGAGAAAGAGAAATTATAATATTGAGGTAATAAATTAATATGAAAAATACTGTGTGAATTGAAAAATTATAATGAAATGGTAAAAAATTAATAACTTTATGAAAATAGAGGGGCAAACTTTGAATAATAGGGTGTGAAAAGTATAACATATTAAAATAATGCGGGGTAATATTTAAAAAAGGAGTGCGCATAAAGATGGGTGTGTGGGTATCAATTTACTGTTTATTATTTGTACTCTTATTGCAATTAATTAAGTAGGTGACAAATTGTATATTTTTCATTTTATTTACATTAAGTTTATTAGAAATTAATTATTTTTCTATATTAGTATATTTGGAATTAATTTGAAATTTTGTGTTAACTATTTTGTTCGAGTTCTTGTTTTTTACCTAGGCCTTGTTCATTTCACCAATTCAAGTTTAGAATTCGAGTTTTGCTACAGTAAAAAGCTCTCAGAAACATTCACATCTAACTTTTTTACTACAGTAAAAAGCTCTCACAAAAAATCACATCTCAACTTGAATTAAAAACTCGAATCAACGAACTGAACGGGCCCCTAGTAACCCGAGTGGCCAATTCCCAATATTGGATTACTTTGTAAATATTTGTTGTTATTCTTTAAGGCCTCGTTCATTTTACCGATTTGACTTTTTAATTTTAAGTTTCTACAGTAAAAAATTGTCAGAAAATGTCACATTTAACTTTTTCTATTACAGTAAAAAACTCTCTTAAAATGTCACACCTCAGTTTGAATTGAAAACCCGAATTTGCGGAATGAACGAGGCCTAAGTAACTCTTTCTAAAAGAGAGCTTAAAAAATAGCAATTGAAATAGCCAATAGTAACCGATAAAACAATGAATGTGTTATTTTTCTTGATGAGTAGAATATTGTGTCTACGAAAATATGTTATTT